TGGCTGAGCTGTATTTCCTTGGGATGCCTAACCTGCCTTGTACCTGCCCGTTACAATTCCTTACAGGAGAAACTCCGTGTAAACAGTAGGGAGTAACAATACCTCAAAAGCGCCTGGCTCATGAGTGATTCAGCGGAAGATATGGGAGAGTCAGGAAATTTCAAACGGCTTCTGGTAACTTAGAAATGAGCAAGTCAAAGGCACAATGGTTGAAGGGATTAATTCACCAAATGTCTTGACAGATTCACACAGTACCAAGCAACCATGCAAACCCGAGAATCAACAAAGGCCATCCCGGCGTCCAAGAGGCTGCAATCAGCGGCGTCGAAGAGTCTGCAATCTGCCAGTAGCTGCCGCGGCGTGCGTGATGCCGGAGCAGGGCCGGCTGGAGCCAGCGGCACACATCCCACTGCCGCTGCGCTGGGCAGCGCCTGCAGCCTTCCGAGAACTGAACTCACCGCCCGCGATCCCTACCAGACCACTGCCTCCTGGTATTTCCTCTTAGTAACTGTATAAACCGTATTTATCTTAATTGCCTAACAGTTACCAGTGGTACAGCAAATAGACTTGAAGTTGACCATCACCTTTTGTTAAACAATTTCATTTTTGAGTGCTTTTTTTCTTTGCTTGCTGCCGGCCCGATTCCAACCTCGGGCCGATGTTTTGCGCAACAGGGGCTGTGTGTGTGGGAGTAGGGTTGTGTGTGTGCACAAAAAATTCAGCTGAAATTGCTTAACCCTCTTGAGAAGGACGAAGGGGAAGTGTGCCTTCCTCAGCATTAACAAATCTCCAGCCACCAAAGCTGCTCAACCTTGTTCCTTACGGAAACCCTGACGCCAGGCTGAGAAGCTACCAGAAAACAGCCCTGGTGATGGGAGAGGGCTACGGAGGGATGTGGGAGCTGAATGCGCAGGATGGCCGTGGGACAGGGCCCTGGGGAATCCATCCTTGGAGGATTTCCTACCTGAGGGAGTGCATTTCCATCCCCTGTTTCTGGACATCACGGATGTTGAGGATGCACAGAGAAAAACTGCAGACAACGCTGCTTGGAATGTGCTCTGACAGTGCAGAGTGGTGCCAAAGACCCGTTCCCACGCAGCGCTGTCCCTCAATCACGCAGCACTTATCCCTGTGCAAACGCACCCGTCGTACCCTGTGATCCGGCTGGCATGGTGTCCCATGCCAAGAAATGCCACGGAGCGAGCCGCCGGCGTGCCCATCACCGCATCCGAGGGGGCTTGGCTGCAGCTTTCGGCTTCCTGCTCTGCCTCCGTCCTGGGACATGGGGCCGGGTGCCCGCACGCCCTGTGCCCGGCTGCCCGCAGGCATCCCGCTCTGCCAACGCGGGAACTAAGGATTTACGGCAGAGCTGAGCACGCCAAGAACGTGCCCGCTGATGGGACGCAGGCTCCAGCTGCAAGAGGCAGCCCTGGCTGCGCTCGCTCCTGGGGCAGACCAGAAGCAAACCCAAACCCCAAACGCTGTCAGATATATTTGTTCCTTCTTTTTAGAAGAAATTTCAAGGCAGTATTTTTATTTTTGTCTCCTCGTTCCATGATTTATCACTTATAGAGCTCCTTCCTGCATTAACCCCCTGGCCCCACCACATTACTGCCTGCCTGGGGAGATGTTCAGAGCTTCGAGAGCACAGCGATCGCCCAGAACAAAAATGGGGACATGAGAACTTTGCACTGGTAGGGATCTGGGGCCTTTTTTCCATGAGGATGAGGTGATAGGGTTTAAAAAAAATATTAGTACGCAGCAGAATGCTTATAGCATGGCTGGCTTCAAGGGGAATAAGGGCTGCTCAGACGGACAGGAGGGAGGTGGGATGGGAACTGTAGTTTTGCAAGAGAGAGTAAAATTTGGATACCTGCATTTACTCCTCATCCTTGCCAACCTCCAGCAATCGCTCTCTCACATCCCAGAGACACGAGGTCACATCCCAATGACGCTTCTGTCCAAGACTTCCCAGAAAATGTCAGCTCGTCCCCACCCAGAGTACGGAGGTGTAAATGGAAGAGCTCGGAACGGTGTCAGGACACCCTTCCCCTCCTGACCTGCTCCCGGCTCCGCTGCCCGCATCGCCCAGCCCACACACAGAGCTGCTCGGCTGGCCCCCAGACCCCGGGGGTTTTGGGCATCCTGGGGCTGGGCTGGCCCCCGGACCGCAGCCAGCCGTGACTCGGGCACCCCTCTGGATGGGTGCAGGACCTTCCGACAACAGGGCAGGCGGGACGGCCACGGGACGGAGCTCAAGTCCGCATAAATCCCCTTCTCAGTTATTTTGAAACTTCTGTCAGATGGTCTCAGCCATCACTAAAGAGCAATAATCTACACGATTAAGTAGCCTGAAAGAAAGAAGTTCTTTTCACCTCCACACAGAACAAGTTTAGAAAAGCTGCATTTCTTTCCCATTATCCCTACTAGAGCCAATGTCTATGGGTTGATGAAAAGTGACTTGCATTTTTTCAGTTGGTTTACCAATCTGTCAAAAACATATTTGCGCAGCCAGAGCAAACCTATCCCCATCAGCAGCGACGGCAGCGAAACACCTTTCCCCACCGGCAGTCAGAGGGGGGGAGAACGCCCCCCCTCCGCTGGAGCTCCCACCCTCCCCACGGGAGACCTCCCAAACCGCACGTCTAACAGAGGCTGTCGTATCGAGCGTTAAAGACTCACCGGCGTTACTGCTCATGGTTCTTGTCGGTGTGAAGGCGCCCGCAATGCCAGCAGCTTCCCAGCTCCTGAGCAGCCTCTGTCGCTTCCTTCTGAGCGTGGAGGAGGAGGAGGACGGGCTGCCCTTTTTATCGGTGTCTGGCTCTGAGGTGTCAGCAGGTCACTGCCAAGGGGTGGTGTTCAGGCAAAGGAAGTTCCTGCAGGAAAAAAAAAAAAAAAAGATTACAAGTCCCTCTGCACATAGTCAGACCCTGAAAAACAGCGAAACTTAAATCCCGACTCATGGAAGGTGGATTTGCACAATCAGATGACAAGTGGCCAGACCACCCTTCACTGACAAACAGTAAAATCATGGACCAGATGAGTAACGAGAACGAACCCATGCCCTAACGTCCAGGTTACCGGGGCTGCAACTCGAGGGCCAGCTTTACAAGGCAGCCCACAAACATTTAATCCTTAGGAAACCAGAGATCCCCATTAGGACCAGTCTAACTAGCCACATTTGGGACAGAAGCACTTGAAGCTCTGGGCTAAAATCCAGTGTTTACACATGTGGGTTGGAAAGCCCAAGCATCCTGGCACTGGCCCCCTCGCCGCGAGGCCAGGCAGATGCG